ACTTCGAACCTTGAATTTTTTCGAAGCAAGTACCAATTAGAACTGATATTAAAATGAACGAAATCATTGAAAAAGCCTTTAAAAAATACAGGAAAATGTACAAAAAATAACTTATTAGTTGGTCAAAATGCAACAAATGCCCTATAAAATGTTCATTTCGGTTATTTGCTTTTGTTATAACATAAAATAATATCTGTACTAAGAAGGCATTGTTCGAAAGTAATAAGGAAGAAAATACATTTTCATAAAAATTCATGATTATTACTGATTCCAGGCGGTTTAACTGCTAAGTCATAGTCCCGCAAGTATAGTACATCTTTTTTTTCGGGATGTGGTCTTGCCCAATCTGGCGATCTTTAAACGAGTAGTTTTCAAGTAATTTTCGCGTGAAAGCAATGCAGTTTATAAAAACCATTCCGAAAATTCAATTCAATTTTTTTCTTTAAATGTTTAAATAGAAACAAGAAACCGTTTTTAAGAATGGCGCAACTCTAATTGTGTTGATGTCTCAGTATTTCGAAAATTTGCAAGTTTTAGAAATATTCCGCGAAAGGTTTTTTCATTGCATTAGTGAAATCTGGGTGCGTTTAACTCCTTAAGTCGTTAGTTCCGTTAAGATGTAGGCGCATGATTCTTATCTTGAAGCCGTAGTGGATCTTGCCCCTCTGATGGCGAGATCCCAAAAAAAAAAATAAAAAAAAAACCCCCGGGTTTATCTCCCGCCCAGGGGCACCGCCCCAACAGGGCAAGCTTCTCAGCTCCCGACCGCGTCTCCCGGACATGCTGGACAGGTTAGAATGAATGTAAGCGTAAGTGTGTTTGTTACGTAGTGTGGATAGTGTAAATGAAGCGAAGGAAAGATTGCGTGCGTCCGTGGGCCCGTTTGTTAAGAATTCTGATTACGAAATGTTCCTGATTGATCGTTGAAACCACGAAAACCACCGATTCAAGAGCAGCCGGCCCGCAAAATCGCCCACCAGACAGCAACAGAAATTCGAGCCTATCACGCGGTCGCGGTTCCGAACAAAGTACAGATCCTTACGATTTTTCCGTAAAATAAAACATCCCCTCCTTTTAAGATTTCAAAAACTGTTTTAAATCATATTAACAAATTTGTAATAACACAATTACATTAGTAAAATGCATTGTTTATTTAGCAACAAATCATGATGAAAATCTTAGAATTTATTAATTTTGTGTAGGAAGGATTACTGCTTGGTATGTCTGAGGAAGACCACGCACAAATGTTCGAAAAACGTCGGCAACTCACCTTCGACGCGGCGTCCCGGACAGCCCAGATCAACCCACATGACTCTGTCGCGAAGCCTACGACTTTTATTTTGTCATCATGAGAATTTTTAAAATATTTTGTTTCGTAATCAAAAATTATTGCTTATCTACTGTTTTAAGAGAACACAGGCTGACCCTTTTTTCAACTGCGTGATAGGGGTGGTTTGAATTTTGGATATGTATTGAAATAGTGGTGCACTTAAAAATTAAATATTTTTTCCTGGTTTCTTATGACATTTCGAGTATAAGGAGTTTAACGGAAATGTTCCTGTTATTTGAGTCTCATTAGGATTAGTTTTTAGATTGAGCAAGAAAGAAAAAATATGTTTTCAGAAAGTGGAAAGCGTCGAGAGAAACTAATTTAGCGACAAAACCGGCGCCTCCGCCCCCTTTCTCGGGATTCATCGCCACCTTCGTTAACGCGTAACTTTCGATTTCATACAGTACAACAAAAAACGTGCCCCGTTTAGCTTCATTTGTGCTATGAAAGTGTTCGTACTTCATTATTACCTAAGACCACGCCATAGCAGTTGCTAGGTCGTAAATTCTTGCCATCGTCTGACTCGAAACCTGGACCTTCCGGTCAGAGCGCTGCAGCAGCGTTCCAAGATTGCTCGTCTGAAATCGTGACGTTTAACCAAATCTTTCGTGGAAAAAAAACGTGAATTGATTAAAAATAAACGGACAAAAAAGTAATAATTTTAATTGTAAGTATCGAAAACCAAAATATATTTTATTACAGATTTCAGGCCACCAAATTAAACGTAAAACAGTAGGTTAATCAAAATTGTTAACAGCTGATTTATTTTTATTTTTTCTTTTCTTTTTGTTAAGAAAGAGGGATTTACCCTGACCCTTTTGAAGGAAGTTAGTTTTGTTTAAAATTTTTGAAAAAGTTTGTGAAAGAAGGCTTTGCGGGGACCAATTTTCGTGTTGGAGGGGGGGAAAGCTTGGGTTTTTTCGGGAGTTTGCCATTTTTACCGGGTGAATTTTTTTTTTTCCATTTGTTTTTTGGAAAAAAAAAAAAAAACCTCCCTTTTTTTTTTTTTCCCCCCCCCAAACTCCTTTTTTTCTTTTTTTCCATTGGTCGGACAAACGATCTTTATGTTTATTTTACTTTACCTTCAACAAATCTTCTCCACAGAATTCCTGAGTAGCCTAATCGATTTCTTGGCTCAGAAATTGTAATGTCAGCAGTTGTAGGTAATCTAAGGTTCCCTTGAAGCCTATCAGCAGCATTCAATCAGTTCGGCGGATTTCATGTTCACCAAAGATAGAGATTTCCTGGTAAAGAACTGTCCTAACGGTAAATTTACAAGTTGAATACACTTGAACGCAAGGAAGAAACATCGTATACATCAGTAACATACTCAACGGCTTAAGTTGTTCATCTGAACTGGTTTTGATCAAATGTTTTACATCATTTTACTTTGTTTTTAGGGCATTTTTAAGACGTTTTAAGAGCATTTTCTTGAACATTTTTGGTGATGTTTCGCTCATAAAAATCCGCCTTCTACTTAATATTTTATTTTTTTACTAATACGTTATTGCTTTTTTTTCTAGACGGAGCTCTGTAATTTACATTCTGCATAATTCACATGTTGCAATAGGATCGTATTACGAGTGAAATATGAAAACAATTGAATGACGCACATGTTTTCTTACGGAGGGAATTATAATGAGAGATACTTATAAAAAGATGAAAATCAAGATACTACCAAGACAAGTTAACATCTAGTTAAATAGTAAGTAATTCTGAATAATTAACATAATGTTATAAATTAAATCTCGTATGTTTACTGATTCTACTTATCTCTAAAGCGAAAAAAGAACAAACGCTAAGTGCTTTTTGTCGCCGCTCTATCATTTGAACTCCTAGTCACCCAACTAGGATCCCGTGTTTAGAATTCGCTAAACGTTCGTGACTTCACGTAGTTACCGAATTCGGCTCGCGACGCCGGCTTCGTGGTCGTGGCCTTTCAGTAGAACCATCCCAGCATTCGTCTGTATAATGAGGGAAACCACGAAAGCCGCTGTCAGGACGGCCGGGACGGGAATTGTAACCGGGCCTCATTAATGGGAAGTCATCGCCCTACGCTCAATGCCACTTCGCTCGGTGCTCTATCATTTGAGCTCCCTTCGTGCATAAATTACTGTAAGCACTGGTTTGAAACCGTGAGCATTTTTTGATTCCGGGCGCGGCAACCACTGAGGTTATTACTCATTAGTGAAGGCTATGTTACTTCATTTCGGGAGGTGGCGGCACAACTACCACCATCTCCGCTACTACAACTACCACTACAACCACATCTTCATCACCACTCCAACACGGAAATGCTGTAGAGACTGGTCACCCGACATGTGAGATGGTTTAGTGCTTGTGTGTGTGTGTATCAGCGTTGCCAGATTAGTGTTCGTCTAAGTCGTGATATTTAACAAATCTTAATGAACAAGGAGTGATTTTTTTGGAAAAGGCGGGACAAAATAAAAGAAACATTAATAAATAATATTTTAGTTTAAGTATCGAAAAAGAAAAATATACAGATTTCAATCACAAACAACGTAATCAGTATATTATCAAATTTCAATAGGTATTTCGTTGTCAGAAGAAGACGTACCTGGCTTTGCGAAATAGTCTGTTAAATTTTTTGTAGCGAGAGAGCTCGCGATCTTCACAGAAGAACTTGTTTTCGAATGCTTTTCGAGATCATTTAGTCCACCAAGAGAAATGCTCTACTCTTTCTTAGGCAGTCGACAACTTGTTTTATACTCGTTTGACTTCACCACGCTCAGCCAGTTATAATCACGTTCCCATTTAAAGTTGTACACAGCGCTCTAAAGTTCACTCCGCAGTGGCTGTCTCCCCACTCCACAATCCTTCATTTGGAAACAGCAACGTAGCGGGCTGGATCAGCGACGGCCACTTCGCCCTGATCCATTACGCAACAGCAACAAAGGACCGTGATGGAATGCAGTTGGGGGAAAAAGTAATAATAATAATAATAATAATAATAATAATAATAATAATAATAATAATAATAATAATAAAAGCATTTGAAATAAAGATTTTTTTAAAATTTTCATAATTATCTTATTACTTCATGTGTTGAAATGGTTTACCAGAATTTTGAAAGCAAAGCTTTACCATTTTACATTTATTATCGTAAACTTAAATTTTCTTGAGATATGGACATTACATATCTCAAGAAATTGAAGATATTGAATTTTTTAATTCCTCAATGGTCTTGGGACTAGTTTAGTAGACATTCCCTTTAGCTGATCCCCTGAAAAAAAAATCAGGTGTGACTTCTGGTGATCTTGGAGGCCATTGCAGTTTTTGAAATTATGCGGTTCCCGAACACGAACATTTGCTTCACATCATTCGTGTTCTTATTATTTGCGAAACACACCAAAATACACGGACTTCCATGGTCAGCATTCTAACAGTTATAATTTGACTCACAACAAACATCTTGTACGTAGTCGAACTGTCACGGTACGAAGAATGCGATCACGTATTTTTATTTCAAATACTGCTTGCTCGCAGCGAGGGCGCTGCTGCGGACATCCGCTGATAAGCCCGGTATGTTGCCGTTTCCTCATAAAGGACGATGGAATAAAGGGATTTTTTACGGTTTTCCCCTCTGCAGTTGCTCTGGAGAGGCAAAAATTTATTCAACTTTCGAAAATACAAAAAAATTTAACTGCAGCCAATTAGGCTTTTGCGATTAGGGAAGGCTTTTTACTTGAACTAACTAAAATCTTATAACTAAATACATTCTCACTTTGGGATTTGTTAGTTATTAAACTTTTGATGTATTTAATTTGGAGTTCTTTAAATTGTTATATTTTCTTCTTCTCTTTTCTTCATTCTCACACGCATTCACACTTATATTTACAAACGCATTCATTCATACAAACACGCAAAACTTCACAACACTATAAACACTGATATGTTCGCTACAGCGCCGACTTCACTCAAGCGACCGTGGCGCCGCGACGTCTTGGCCCTGCGGAAGGCGCATCCGCGCCGCCCGCGCGGCTTCCACCATCCGTAAGCGGCGACCGCCTCCCACGCATTGCTGCTCCCCCGCGTCGCAGAGCGCAGAGAGCTTGTGCGGGGCAGTGCGCGGAGGTGAAGGAGACTGCAGTGGGCCCTTTCTTCTGTGAAACGCCCTGTGCACGCCGCTGCTCGCCGCCTTGCCGGTCTCGCGCAGGATGCGCGGAGCGGACGGCCTCAGCGCCCTTGCGAGCGCCCTCTTTTGTAGCTCCGCCGGGAACTGGTTGCGAACGCCTAAGATTCTGAAGACGACAGGGGGCGGCCACTGCGGAGATAACTTTTGAACGCTCTGTATTGTGATAACCTTCCTATTTTAATTTTCTTAATGGGCGTATCTTGCGAAACTGTAACAGGGCAACTGACATCAATGGCGAATTGACTTCCCAAATAGGGGACGGTTGGCAATCCTACCCGCTACTGTCGCTGAGATTTCTTTCGCGTGCCTTTTTTTTGTATTGGTTCATTAGCGAATGATCTTACGAAAGCGTGATTTTGGCTGCACCGCGCAGGACAATCAATTTTAGTCTTAAAACGACTCCCACAATAGTCAAGACAATGAATACAATTTGTCGAGTCTTTTTATTCGTCTGTAGGTACAGAACGGATTGCTGATTCTCGATTGTCTTTCTTTGTAAAAATGCTAATTATGTACTATTTTGTTCTGAGAAACAGCTTTTGATTCTCGCGGCCTCTGCACATATATTTACGTAAATGGCCGCGTAAATCATACGCTGATTCTCAGAAGCGCATATTCTTGTTCATGGTTTTTTTTATGTTCACATGTGTAAAAAACAATAGTTGTTAATAATATATAAATACATTTTTCATGTCCTAATAAAATTCATCTCTTGTATTTTATTTAGCAATTTGAATAAAAAAAGCAATGGGCGTGTGAATAAAAAAACTACAAAGGCCGTGTGAATCATACGCTAATTCGCCGATGCGTGTCTGTTTTTGTTCTTAGTTCTTTCGAAGTTCACATGTGTAAAAAACAATAACTGTTCATTATATATGTAAAGTTTTTATGTTTCATTAAAAGTATCCACTTATATTTTATTTAGACTTTTCAATCAACGAAAACCTTTCCCAGAAATGAGGCCATGAGAATGAACACACGATTCCCCTAGGTGCATGCCAAAATGCAATTCTGTTGTTACAGCAGTATATTTTAAGCTTCCTTAACGTAACACTGATTTGAGAAGCGAACGCAGCTCTTCACGACTATTGAAACTCATCAAGTTTGAGAATCAACTGTTGATGCTTAAAGCCATTCGGACCAATTCAGTAAGCATCATGTTGTGCTCGTTAAGATCGTGCGGGGTACGTTGCGTTTGTTAGGGTACTTCAACATATTATGAAATCTGGCATCTTATATATATTTTTTGTAAAAATTAATGATCTAGAAATACCATATAAACAGTGTAAGTTTCTTAATTTCAGTATATTTCATCCAGATTGAGATAACGTATTATATCTTAAACTCAGGAAACGCGAGAACTATTTTAGACTGAATATATTTTGAACTGTGGAAGTGATAGCGGTCCGGCGTAGCAGTGTTAAAAAGGGGTTGATTTTTTAGAATGTTAGATTTGGTTATATTTAACGAAGTATTTATTACCAAGTTTGATACCATTAGTAGTTGATTTAGAAATAACACACCGATCCTGTATCCCTGTGTAGGACAGCGTTTATTCGAACACCCTGTAATAAATTTAACACCCCATATCAGAGAACTATTCCAAATGTTTGCAACCCTTGTGAATTGCCGGGTCATCCATAAACGGACTAACCGGTGCATAGTGTCCCTGATGAATTGGAACCGTAACATTTAATTTTTTATAAATATCCAAAAATGTGATTGAATGTTTTATTTATGAAAATATCCTTAACAAATATAGTAATATTAATAATAATAACAATAATTTCAAAAGAAATTACGAGTAAAAAATGGAGAACATCTAAAATGATTATAAATTATTGCAATTCATTTTACATTTTAAAATATTTAAATACATTCATCGGTAGAATATATGATATAAAAAACTGACTGGCTCACTACAAATATTGTTTAAATTACAAATCGTTTTGGTCTTCATGGAGAGGATTCTTGAAATTATATATAAATATTCGATTTTTCTACTAATAAGAATCAAGGATTTGTAAATATATTTGTGAATATGAGTGCTGGTCATTAAGAACTACTATTTTCACTCAGAAAACTTGATTGTGGACCAATTGTTAACGCAATCAGCAGAAAATAAATTTTTGTACGTACTTTCATTTTTCAGTTCAGGTCATAGATATAATCTATTTCTCTGAAGTCTTTAAAAATAATCCTACTCTGATAAAAGGCGTTTCCCGTAAAAAGTTATATTAAATCATACTCCCGTTTGCTTCCTTTGACATTATTATCTACAGAGTAGCGTAACGTTCGGGCCCGCAATGCGGGTGGGGCTTAGGTCAAAGAGGGCCTCTTTCCAGGCTGAGTGTGTTACGATTGCCTACGTAGTAATCATTGGCTGGTGATAATAAATTTGTTAAAGAATATTTTTATTATTTAAGGTACTAACACTACTTTATATACACTAACTTTTATGAAGGCGGGCCGAATAAAAGTTTTGCGAACGGGCACGCACTCATTTCGTTACGCTACTCTATTTACGAGATAAACCCGCGCAGTCTCTCTGTGAGATAAAGACGATAAATATTTTCAAAAAATTGAAAGACGCAATTTCTAGCGAATAGAGATATCGTGTATTCTCCTCGCGTATTCGAAATATCACAAGTCGTTTTACAAATGACATAAAATAAATTTATCAAACTGATTGACGTTTAGAATAACTTATGAAACCACATGATCTATCATTTAAACGAGTATATTATTGGCGAAAAAAGACTGGGATATATCAATAGATACATTGTATTGACATGACATTTTGCACTGCGAGGTCAGAAAGAAGGAAGGGATGGAACCGCGCGGTCCTCACCAAGAGCCTAGAATTCGAGTTCCGGCGGGGACATGGTTTTCGATACTAGCGAGATAGCTAGATCGAATTCAGCCGCTGTCTGGACAAGAATTCTACAGCTCTGATCGTTAGTTTTCCGTGCTTTCTCCGATCTATATCAGGCTAATGCCAGAGCACTACACTAACAAACGTGCCGCGGACCGCTCGCGATCTTTCCATTCTCTATCCTCATCCTTTGCTTACATATACATACAATAACATGCACTACACTTCCATAAATGACGGGGGCTCAGTCGAGAGCTCTGAGCTTGTCCAATTTGAGACGATGAGTGGGAGATAAAAACCCGCAAGTCGACGTGTAGGTCGGCGCTGGATCCCCTGGACCAAGAGGGGGAAGATCACCTCCCCTTCCCCGCGATGGGAACATGCTCTACAATTATGGCACTAATGACTCTGGAAGTTGACTCACTCCGGATCACTAATCAAAACACTTTTCTCGAAATATTTCTAAATTTGCAATTTTCGACAATTTAGAGAGTTCAATAAAAACGAGACTTCCATTCTTTGAAGCGTTTCATTTTCTATCTAAAAATATAAATAAAAAATGGTGCAGAATTTTGGAATATGATTTTTTTTAAACTGCACTATCTTTAAGCAGAAATTACGTGAAAGCTACTCGTTCAAAAAATCGTGAAACAATCTCACCTGCACCACCACCACGACGGAGCAGGCACCGAGCACCGCGGCGCGCGCCGCCACGCGCAGTGGGCCTGGCGAGGGGGTGGCGGCGCGGCGGCGTCGCGGCCGCGGACGGTGTCCATGCCGGCGGTCTGTCACCGGCACCACGCGCTTCCCGCCAGCCGACGCGACGAAAACTTTGATCCGCGCCCCCTTTACAAAAAAGTGTATAGCAAACAGATGTAGAGTTAGTACCTTAAACAATAAAAGTATCCCCCTAAAATAGGTTCTCTTTTATCTAAGCATGCCTGCATTGTGAACCTTGCGGGTCCAAACGTTATGCCACTGTACAGGGTGCAGTGTCTCTGACCGGGAGGTCCTTGAGGTCCAGGTCCCGATGGTGTGGTGGGTTGTCGATCCCCCTTTACAAAAGAGGAACAGAGCTAGGTCGGACTCACACTGTCCAGCGGCCGGCTGCTCTGGTCGGCAGTTTTCGTAGCTTTTTTTGTATTGGTTTCGTCTATGTAGACGAAACACGACTCCAAGCCCTTACGGGCGCGTTGAGTTAAAGCGCTTAAAGTAATTCTCCATTCTTAATTTGGTGTGCTTATTAGAAGTAATGCTCCATTACTACAATGTCATGTCATGTCACGTCTCGTCGTAGCCAGCTGTCAAAAGGACCAGCAGATAGCATCTTCGCGTACGCGCCTCCTACCAGGCGCCTCTACGACACTACCCACCGGCCAGAATTGGGAAGGAATTAGGATCGGGCTGAAATTTAGGACACTTCACAGGGGTTGGACTCGCTCCTGAGAAGCAGGGAAACTCGTTTCGTCGTAAGAAATTTCACATGAGGGTCTAAGGGAATGGAACCCGGAAGCGACGAAAGTAGCTTTTTCAGGCGAATGCAGAAGTAGTGCTCTTAGTACCGCCTTGAAATAGCCCACGAACGAAAAATTGCAACACGAAATGCGTGCGCTTCAGAATCAATTTCAACGGGAAGTGGAATAGCCCTATGAACCTGCAGCAGCAAAAACAGACCTTTAAGAAACAGTTGCTGAAACCAAAGCATTTTTATGGCGCGTCCGAGATCATAAAGTAAGGACTTATGGCGGCAGTGAGGCTAAACGTGGCAAAGAAACAATAATGAAACTATTATTATTAAAAATAACGAAAACAACTCAATATTGAGTTACAAAACGCGCCTGGAACCGTAACTTTGCAAATCCGCGCTCTAACCTCAATATCGCACAACACTCTCAACTCCGTTCAGATCTGCGTCGGGCGCAGATCGCGCGCTCTAACAGCTGAAAAACTTCGCCGCCATTTGCTATACTTTCATTCCTGGGCAGGCTTCCCGTTCCTGGGCCTAGATAAATATTGTCCTTCCTTTCCGTACACGTTATCGTCGCGTTTGTGCAATTGTGGTGCAGCCTTTTCAGACGCGCCACCGTCGTCACATTTCGCGAGTGATCTCGAGCCTCAGTTCCTGGATCTTACAAATAGACGCACCGGGAGGTCCGAGGTTCGAGTCAACCGCTGACAACATATTCGTCACTAGCTTGATAGATCGAATTGAGTCGCTTTCCGAAGGAGAATTTTATTAGCCGACTGCTCTGATTGGTAGTTTTCCAAGGTTTCTCCCATCATCATCAGGCGAATGCAAAAACAGTATTCTAGCAAAAGGGCCACGAACCGCTCGTGATTTTTCCTTCCTCCCCTGTCCTATCTTCACCCCTTATTTACTTACACGTACACTATCCTGCACTTCACTACCACACATGCCGGGAGACCGGTCGGGAGCTTACAGTTTGTCCCGGCTGAAGCTACAGGTGTCCCGCTGGTGGGAGATACCTGGTTGAGGGAAATTCGCTAGCCGACGGTAGGTAGACGCCGCACCTCGCCATCTAGCGGAGGAAGACCGCCACCACCTCCCGAGGAAAATAATCATGCAATACACGTACGAGACTAATGACCTTAGAAGGCCTGTAATCACTAATAACCAACCAATCATCGAATAGATGTGCCCTCTGGGCGTCCCTTGTTATGCCTGGGCGTGTTTCTCACGTTCAGTGACTGTTGCCGATCTTGGTTAACTATATCCGAGCCGTCTGGTCGGGAGAACTTGAAATCTCGCCACGTCGGGACCAAAGTGCCTGAGGGGCATAATTTTGCCGAGAATCTACTAGGGCTCTTTTATAGTCCATGATTGTGAAACGTCAATTATGGATTCAAAGGTGTACCACCTCAGAGCTCGAACCCGTGCTCTGGAGGTTCAAAAGCCTGTCAAATAGCCACTCACCCCCTAAAGCTTGAAATGTAATATAACGAGCATTACTTACTATTCACTGTTAAATCCATGAATAAATGAAAGAAGAGTAAAAGTGGACAATACATTTACAATTTTTACCGATAATAAATTATATTTTATTCAAATTGTAAATTAACTGAGCGTTGAAATTCGAATCGATTCATGGAATTTATCGTGGACAAAGCGAAACTGCATCATGCTTTCTCGACATTCTCCCGTTTACCTCATCATAACTCTATTATGCACATCATACATCACGCCCATCAATCAAATCATTCATTCCAGGTGTAACCGAAGAGTTTAGGTACTGAGGGTCCTAGTATTTATTACATTACGAAGGTTATTGACTGAGAAATATACGACTGTTTATGAACATTTTGAACCTAAAATAACGTTCATTTCATAGTCTTCATCGGTACAAGATTCTAAACAATATTCATCAAACCACTTTACTCCATTCCATAACACGAGACTAGCTTGCCCTTGTATTGCAACCACGTCTTATATGTACGAGTCTGTATTTCACATCCTAAACAATTTTTAACTAATCGATTGTTACTAACATCAGTTATCACAATCTGCTGTCCATTATAACACAGTAATATATCTTTGAAACTATACCCAGAACTGTGATTCGCCAACTCTTACAACTACTCTCTTGCCCTTGGCGAAAATCTGAATCAACACTACACTTGCTCGACTATGACTTACGTTTCCTTATGAAAAATTCTGCATATCATCCAGTAACAAATCCTACTTATCCCGCTCTCTTTTCTACATCTCACATTTCTCTAACTCTTTCTGCCTCCTCAATTTGGACACCATAAAACTCGATTTTTCTTTTTTCGTTACGTTTTTCCGTTACCATTAACATCAAATTAAATTTTCTTCTGAACATGTTTAATTAGTTTTAAATAAGTTTTGTTCATAAAACTAGTATAACTACAAAATGGCAAGAATTTGTCAGTTTTTAACGGCTGTGTAAAATGTTAATAAATGTATCGAAAATTTTGAACCTCTAATATTTCAAATAACGTATTCAGATATCTCTCTTCAAGTCTCCTGATAATGATAACAATGACAACCATGATGATAATAATAATGTATTAGGAACCTTTATTTCCGTTAAAATGATTAGGATTGAAACAATTTTAGTGTTTTTAGAAAAAGAGACTGTGATGGATACTTGAGGATTTTAAACTATTTTAGTGCTCAATCCTAAAATAACCTAACTTAATTTATAATCGAAGTCTCAATGTTTAGTTTGATTTTCAGCGAGTATTGCTTCGTCCAGAGAAAATATTTTCATCGCGATTACGAACAGAAAACACAATGGTTTTGTAAAACAATAAACCTCCTTCATCTAGTTTCGATATCGAATCGAAACCGCGTTGAAATGAACACCCCTTCTCCATCCATTTTCTGTTCAGAAAAATTATAAAACTAAAGAGCGTGCTAAACGGACTTAAATTAATAATCCTGGAAGGTGGGTTGTAAGGTAACTTTGAAAAATTTTATAGAGATAACCAAGAGTGCCAGGTGGCTGAATTTTATAAAGTGTTCCTTGATGCCAAATGCTATCAAATGCTTTAGTTAAGTCTAAAAATATGCTATTGTATGCTCTTTTGAATCAAAACTATTTGTTATGTGTTCGACTAATCGCAATAGGGGGTGCCTTATTGAATGATATGGCTTGAAACCAAATTGTGTTTTGGGTATGGTTTCATTCGTATTTAAAAAATGGACTAATCGGCTAAGAATTAATTTTTCGAAGATTCTTGGAATTGATGGGAGCAGATTAGTAGGTCTTTAATTAAAAGGGTCATTAGGATTAGTTCTTGGTTTATTTACTGGCATGCTTCCAAGTTTGGGGAGGTAGCCAATTCCGAGTGCAGCATTGAAGATTGCTGTTATAGCTGCGATACAGCTAAAGGGAAGTTGTTTAAGTGTAAGGTTAGTGATGTTGTCGTTTCCGGGGGATGTTTTATTTTTCAACTTTTGAATAATAGATTGCGTTTCTGCTGGAGAGATAAATTGAATGGGGAGAAGTAGTTTCATAATTTAAGATATTTGTATTTTAAATTGGTGATTTTTAATAAAAAATAGTATAAAATGAAAATTAAAAAATTGATGGTCAACTATTGGATTGGGTTGAATGTTATTGTATCGGCTTCTCGGTGTTCAGAATAGAGTGTTAGTTTATTTGAAAGAGGGGAGGGACATTACTTTTCTCTTTAGTAAAGTATTTGATTGTATGCTATAGTTGACAAGAGTTTGGATGGAGTTGAACAAGATGCTGTTGAAATTTATGATGTATGTGGCTTACGATCAAATATTTGATTTCTTTGGTAAATTTGTTTGTAACTTTTTATCGTGTGCATTACGGTTTGAAATCCATAGACGTCTAATGACACGTTTGGTTCTGATTTGCATTATAATGTAAGAAATAAATGGATCAATATTTGATTTGTTAGTTATATGAGGCGTAGTGGATCCGGAGAGAGCTTGTGTAATTAATTGAGCGATGTTCATGATTGTGTTATTAATATCATAATTATCCTGTACTGGAAAAATTAATTTTTGGTTAATTAGAATTTTGCAATTTTTTCAGTTAATATAACTTTTTATTGTAATGTGAAATGATGAATTGTGTCATTAGATATGTCGATAGTAATTTTGGTGTGCAAGTGATCCAATTCTGGAACTACAGATTGTTGAACTGTTTGGAAAATATTTTTACTTAACTAAATCAACGATATCTGGTGATATTTTGGTGTTGTTAGAGGAGAAAGTTGGGGAACTTGGAGAATGTACGTATACATTGTTGTTAAGACTGTATTTAAGTAGTCTTTTGCCGTAATAGTTCGTTGAATTACAGCCTCAGGCTTGATTTTTGCAATTTAGACCAATAATTGAGGTTAAAGTGTTTGTAGAAAATATTTGATTTAATTCATTTGTAGGAAAGTTTGGGTGAAAATAAAATTGGAGCCACTTTTTAGAAAATCTTAAAAATGTCCCAGTGGCTTCATGTGAAGACTCCCAAAAATTAAAAAAAATGTTTTTCAAAATCGCAGATCTCTGAGTCGAGCCATATCGTCTGACAAATATCTATTTTGGATAAAATCCTACGAATAATTTACGCTCTAGTGATGTTCAGAGACCGACAAACGGACGGACGGACGGCGGGCAGACTAACGGGCGCTTTGAAAAAGAAAAAACTCATTTCGGTGTCAGGGAACTCCAAATCGTGTATTTCCGATGAAATATCGAAATCGTTTTCCCATCGCATTACATACCTTTCTCTATACAACCTATATTACTCCTCCAATACCAAAGCGCTAGAATATATTACATAGAGTGGATGTCCCTGTAGTTTCAGCACTATTGCTTTCTCGCCGAACTTGTGGCCGGCATGTTTTTTGAAGTCGAAACATACGAGTGGCGGTGTAACGAGCGCCAAACGTACTGCTAGGTTACTGAGTTTCCAATTCGAGGAGGTCGTGTATATGTGCTATATTATAAAGTGATATTGTGTTAAAAATGAGTAAAAAACTTCACTCATAAGTACTATCAGTAAATATGAATTTTAGTAAATGATTTGATATTTGATGATATTGAATTTTACTAAATTATTTGTGAAGAAACCTATAAACTGTATATAATATTTGACTAAAATGGAAAATTTCAGCTGCTCCGGTTTCACGGGGCAGCATATGGTTAATACATCACTGCCAAATGTAGTTTCGAACATGAATACTGATCCAACCAACGTGCTAGAATATACTACATAGAGTGGCCGAAGCGTCTCTCAACAGCACCCTCTGGGAAACAAAGTGCCCTCTACTGCGATTTATGCAACTCTGCCTCTGGCAGGTCTCAGCTGTTCACGGTTTCATCCAATCGGGAGCTTGAACGTTACAATAATGACATCACTGACAGATTCCGATTGCATGAAACTGTCAACATCCGATATCTGCCAGGCGCAGAGTTGCGAAAATCGCAGTACAGCATTACGTTTGGCGGTGGTTAAGGATGGTTACACCTCCACTCGTTTGTTTTGACTTCAGAAACCGTGGTGGCTCCTAGTTCGGCGAGACTCCACCAAGAGTGCTGAAACTATAGGGACAGCCACTAAATCTAGTATATTCTAGCTCGTTGGATCCAACTCAACTCCAATTACTTTCATAGATAAACCAGTTCTAACAACTCAACAAAAAATATACAATTAGAGAAACAAATAGAGTTCCATCAAAACAAATCAACAACTGCAAGTGCAATAAGAATTAATTAGTCAATCAGCAAATACTAATAATCAAAAACTCTCAAGAGACAACAGCACCCAAACTCAAGATAAAACTGCTGAAAGGGGGGAGTGTGTGAAAAATAAGAGTAAATGAGTGAAAGGGATGAAGGTCTGTGCACCAACTACAATATTCCAACATCTCATCCATTAGTGTCTCTATCTTCAACTGGGGATGATTCAGATTCATCAGAAACTGAAGACAACGTAATTATTGAAAATATTAAAATTCCTCCAATTAATAATTCACAAAAATGAAAATATTGTAAACCATTTGCATCATTCATACCTTCAAT